TCCCTTCCTTCCTTCCTTCCTTCCTTCCTTCCTTCCTTCCTTCCTTCATGTCTCCCTGTCTTACCAGGTTGGAAGTATAATGAATAATGATAATGAACCCTCTATTGAACATCATGGTAGCTTTGACTTGCTCTATTTCGGACCTGGGCCTATTTGTCAGCCTTGTTCCCCATTCTTCCTTTACCTTCCTGCCACCTCTGCCCCCAGGAGCACACTTATTGGTGCTGGACCTAGTATGGACACCAGCTGCCTCAGTCCACTGTAGCACAGAATTTCCAAACTCAAGCAATCCAGCAGGCTGAGCCTGCCCAGTAGCAGGTGCTACAGGCATGTACCACCATATAGAACAAAGAATTCATTTTCAAAGATTAGTTTATACTGACATATTCTTGGTGGTTAGATGCCACAGAATAGGTGGCAATGCCTTAACTGTATATGTGTTATAAAGACCACTAGGACCTCTTCCATTCTTATCAAGGGGAGTGCTAACCTTTTCTCCTTTCATACACCTGGCAGGTGTTGAAGATCACCTGGCAAGATAAGGTCCTGGACACTGAGGTCCTTTCTTGAACTAAACTGCTGAACATTCAAACTCTGCTGCAGAAAGTGCAACTTTGATGGAGGTGGGGGATGGAGAGTGTAACTGCAATGGGCTGGCCCATGTTGTTCGAATGCCAAATGAATGCTTGCCTAAGAGACTATTTTACAGAGAACTCACACAAAGCAAGCACTCACATGGTGATAGGAAGAAGCAACACAGGGACACTCTCAAGGTTTCTCTGAAGTACTTTGGAATTGGTTGTATGATATGGGAGACACTGGCATAGGACCACCCAGCATGGTCTGCCCTCATCAAAGGAGGTGCTGTGCTCTATAAGCAAAGCAGAATTGAAATAGCTCAAAAGAAATATAAGATGCACAAATTTAGAGAATCCATCCCAAATGTTCATATGGACTATTTTTGCCTGACCTGTGGTAGGGCATTCCAAGCTCGTATTGGTTTGATCAGCCACAGTCAGACACACTGTAACTTGACTCTAACATAGTGATGTCATATTGGTCCTCACCAAGAATGAAGGACAATAATCAACCAACCCATATTCTTGATGAAGAAAAATTCTTTATTTGAATATAATGGAGCAAAAATGCCCATTTGTTAATCTGATGTACATTAAATATCTTTGCATTTGTTACATGAATGTCAGGTATCTGGCAGATAAATTTACATACACTTCCACAGTTGATAGATTTATACTGTATGTACAGTCATTCTACATAGAGCATGCCCTTCCACCAAGATACAGACAACTTCCTCCAAGGCTTTTGGTAAAAAATACACTTGGTCAAACATTTTGGCAGTCAGCAATCTGACACAGAGGCGCATTCCAGAGGGATGAGTTCACAATTGGACTAGCTGGACTCAGGATGAAAAAATCTAGAAACCTGCAAGTGAGGATTTATTGGGGGTATGCACATGCAAACACATATATATATACAATAGTGGTGACTGAGATCCATGTGACAGGAGGGCACACAGAGCAGGAAATATAGAAACCAAAAACAAGGTCAAGACCATTGCCAAGATCTCTCTGCAAAAGAGTTGATCTGAAAGTGTGTTCAAAATGGAAATCTAACTTAAAAAATAGCTTAGTGCTTTATATACATTATGTACACATGAGCAAAGAGCATGAGACGTGAGACCTGGGCAGTATGTCTCCAGGTCAGAATTAAGAATATACAATGATTTTTTGAATGTGGAGAGGGCATAAATCAAGAAAGAACACTTCTTTACCTTTTAATCTTTTTGATTTAGTATACAGATTAGGCACCATAAATTTATAACAATTGTGGTGGAGAGGAAATTAGAACAATATGTCAACCAGCATCTACACATGACTGGTGAACTTCAAAGGCAAGTGTAGGTGGGGGTTTCAACCTAGGGCCTTCTACCTGTGCATGTGTGGGACTGGAGACAGACTTCATGCAAATGGAAAGAGAATTCTGTTGGTTTTATTTACTTTGCATCTAATAATAGGGTATTTGGTATCCCTTCTGATTTGTCAGAATTTCTCCCTTTGAGGGTGAAGTAAATGTAATGAACAAGGAGCTTATTCATTACTCTATGGGTTGGAAGATAAACTCCCATAGACTCAGGATGGAAAGCCCCCTGCAAATTTCTTTGAGAGTAGGGCATAGAGAAGACCTCTCCCCCTCCTCTTCACTATCTTGGCTTCTACAATACCAATACAGCAGTCACAATCACATCTTGGGCACAATGAGCAGCCAAATATTCTCTAAGGCAGTAGTTCTCAAACTTTTTGGTCTCAAGACCCTTTTACATTCTTAAAAATTATTGAGGACCCCCATCCCAGTGCTTTTGCTTATGTGGGTTATATATGTTGGTTTTTACCTTATTAGAAACTAAAATGTCTTAGTATTATTATAAAAATATTTTCACCTGGTGGACCCTCCGAAAGGGCTACACTTTGAGAATCATTCCTGTAAGACATCCAACAACTTCAGCAAGAGAGGTCATCCCTGTTCCCCAAACTTTCTTAACAGTGTTACATTACTTGATAGCCAAGGACTTTGCCTTATTGTCCAGGTGGGCAATTTTTTTTTTTTGCTCTTACTTCTAACTTGGATTAAACCCAACCTGATTGGAGGGTGAAGAAGGAGTATGGACAGAGGGTTACCTTCTGTAGTGCCATGATTCTGTTATAAAGGAAGAAGGGGGAAGAGCAACCATTGTAATTTTAGCATCTGGGTTCAAAGGCACTAAAACTTTCAATGTTTCATATAGTCCCATCACAAATGCAGATTAATGTACATGATTATCTTTAAATATATGATTATATGTGTGGGTCTTGACTTAGGAATTTGAGACAGGAGAGTGATTAGGCTATTGTATATGGCTCCTCAGCAAATGGAAACTCTTGCCAAGCCATGCTTCAATATCATCTTTATCACTTTATGTAAGAGGCACTGAGGACTTGTTGAGTACCAGCTCTGCATTAGGCAACATATTCACAGCTAATATATTTTACCAGTCACTATCCACATGTTATCTATCTTCATGTTCCCAGAAGAGTGATTAACAGCTTTTTTACCTCTGAGGATCACTGTGTGATCAGGCTATGCTTCTGAGCTCCTCTAAGGCACAGGCAGTAGAGAAGGAAACAAGGATAAGGAAGATAAAAGGTGAGGAGAAGGAGAGGGAGTGAAAAATCAGACAGACAGGAAGAAAGGACAGTGGAGTCACAACCACCAATTTTAGTGCCTGGGGCAAGTAGCACACTTAGGGCGAGTAGATTTGTAATTCATGATGTGAAAACGATACAAGAAGTAATCAGAATTCTGTTTCAATCAGTTACTGTTGTGACTCAGATGTGGGGTACATTTAGTAGCTACCTCTTCTAACTAATTATTCATACTCACTAGGTGCTAAGCTCTGTTGTTTCTATGTGTCTATATTAAAATGTGCCCTCTAAATTATAATGCTCTGGGGGGGAAAGTCCTTACTGCTTAATCATAACTTTGAAGGAAAGATAGAGAGAAAGGGAAAGAAAGAATAACAGAAGCCTTTGGTGGGGAAATCTTTGAAATCAGAAAGGATAATTTACCCCCAGTAGGCCAGTTCAAGGCAGATATGAGAAGCAGTAAGATTTGTTTTCTACACTTTCCAGAGTGAAGATTCCAAGGCTGCTGGATTAGAAAAAGAGTTTCCATCACATTTTAGTTACAGGTTTTAGAAAAGATTCCTCAAAATAGACAGAAACAGTTTCAAATAGCATTTCTTATTTTAAAAAAAAATCAAATAATTTCTCTTTCAAAATGTGGCTGTTTTTTGTTTTGCATCTTGTACCTTACAATAATATCTCTGGGTGAAATTTCTTTCTATAATAACATTGAAAAAAACAGCAGGTTTGTCCATTTCTCTTTTTTTCTCAAGTAGTGGCTGAATAGCTTCTACAAGAATGCCCAGTGTGACAATGACACTTGGTGAATAGGCAGCTCTACCTCTTGGGCATATATCGGTACCAGGTTCTTGTCCTGCTGGCCAAGGCCAGCTGATGGCTTTAATCTCCAAATCCCTCTCTCCCTCCCCTCAAAAAAAAATCATTGCTTTTGTGGTCAATGTGATGTTTTGCTCTTTGCCTTTCAATGACAGACACTACTAACTCTGTGTCCTCTCTCTCCCTCCTTTAAAGGTGCTGCAAAGAATGAATCATCTGTCAGAGGAGAAGAGTGCAGTGAGTGTCCTAGCTCTAGAGAAGTTCTCTAGCCATCTGGCTCCCCTTCTCTGCCCCATTTGTTCCCAATGTGGGCTGCCATCTTGCAGACTGGACTCCTGAATAAAAGCAAGTCACTAATAAATGAATGAGATCCTTCTCAAGTCAACAGTCAGTTGCAGAAACTATGGCAATGGCTTTTTCTTGAGGTTGGGTAAAGATTGTTAAGGAGGGCAGACACTGTCAAGACAGTGACAAGAACAGTACAAAAGTGACTATAAATACACAGGGAAACATTAAGTGGACAAATAATGCACACAGGAGACACTGACATTTTTGATCCAGCACTATATAGATTTAACTTGTTGAATAACATGGGAAACATGACAGAAAACATACATTGCCTGAAAGAAGGAAAAACTATGTGAGTTTAGGTTTAATTTCAGAGTACCTTAAAGTGTAGATTGGTAACATTTCCTTCTGTTATTGCAACATGACTGGTGCTTTCCCCCCCTCTGGTTACTGAGATGAGCTCGGCAAAGAATAGGGATTTTAAAAAAAGGAAATTTGGACCTACAGCCTTTAAGGACTAGCTGGCTCTCTTTCTATGATGCCAAGCAAGTGCCAAACTCAAACATTTTTATTCTGAAATCTAAAGGCTTTTAATCCATGAATAGGTAAAGTGTTTTTTTTTTATTGAAGAAAGAAATAATAAAGACCTTTTTAATCATTGAAAAGAACTGAAAAGAATAAATGTCGAAAATACCCAGTTCTATTTTGGTTAGCAGAAAGGAGCAGATGGCATTCCCTTGGCATGCTACCTAATTGAATCCCATAGTTCAGGAAAGTCCCTTCCTTAAACTCTTCATCTCTTCACTACAATCTTTTGCACTGGCATTTCTGATCCTCTACCACCCTTCCTGTTCCCCCTTTCCCTTTCCACCTTCCCCCTTTTATTCTTTTCATGAATGAAGAGCAAAATTCTTTTTGATAAGAACCAGAACTGTAGTTTGATATAGTTCATTTGTGGTGGTGCGACTGTCAACTAAGAGAAAATCCACTAGAACCCTGTGTTCCTGGCAGCAAAGACTTATCCAGGAACCTTTTCAAGAGTACATGTTGTGGGACAAACATATGTATAGGAGAGCCAATAGCTATGGCTATTGTGAATTTTTAAAACTGGTGAGTCTTTTGACAGATTTATCAGTCTGGAAAGATGGGTAAGCTGCGTGGGGAAGGGGTAGTGTTGAACTTTTGATTTTAAAGAGGCCGTCAGGGTAAACAAAACTGGAGCTTTGTCCTTTGACACTTCCCATAGGTGTGTCCTAATTGGCTACCCATCCTCTCTCTGCTCATTCTGGTCTATTCCCTAATGTTTCCAGTTAAAAATTGAATGTATCAAATACTTGTAGAAATACTACCAGTAGGTAATCCTCCAGAATACAATTTCTTGATTAGTGCAGAATTGAAGGAGCTGAATTCAGCTGAATTTTAATAGGTAGAGAATCCTCTCTATGTTGTTGTCTGGGATGGCTCTTGGGACAACAGGATAAACAGATCCCTCCTGCCTACTGTGCTTGGCATACAAGGCAGCAACGCTAAACGTAACTCTGGTCACTGAACCATAATCATGAGAAGCACAGCTTGGTGTACAGAACTTGTATTTGGGGAAGGTACTCTATTCCCCCTGAGGGGACATGGAGAATTCTGGTTGGATTCTGGGGAAGCTTCAGAAGCACTGGCATATGTCACAAAGAAGTAGGAAATTTAGGAGTTAAGTGTGACTGTTTTTCTTCTGGACTTTCATATCTGAGTTCCTTCTTATTTTCTTCTTCATTTTGGATGAAAAGACATGTCACCCATACTTTTCCTGTGTCAGTGAGTGACTCGATGACTGGATAGATTCACAGGTTCATGCTTATCTCATGATTATATCTTATTCTGCAGCTAAATATCAAGCCCAGAACAGGCTAAACAGGCTTTGCAACATACCTTGGAAACAACCTGATCTCTTCTAGGGAGAATCTCTGGAAGAAGAAAGCAATTGTGAAGAACCTGGGTGAAACAGTAAGGGACTAGCACAAAAAGCACTGGTTGTTTGTAAATGGGGGCATTAGAAAGGTTCCCTCTTGGAAAAGTCCAGTAGCTTAGATTTTGGACTAAGGGATAAGAAAGGTCCTTGGTGGATTTCTGGAAGTGGAATTCCCTGAAATCCTACTTGTTGTCAGAAGAAAGAGATGGATTCAGCAAAGGAGGTGGGGTTCAGCTTTTAACTTTTCTTTACAGCTTTGCTGACTCAATTTATGCTGAAATACAGTTTAATCATGTACTTCCTCTGTAGATGTATCCTATGTGCTGACACAACATAAATGAGAGCCATATACCATAGCAATGGAGGACCCAGTGAGACTGTAAGAAAAATTATGTTTTTTGAGTCTAGATAAGGGTTTTTTAACCTGGGGTCTGAGAAACTTGTTGTTTTAGTATTTTGATAATTATTTCAATATAAATGTATTCTTTTTTAATCCTGTGTGTTTTATTTTAAGCATTTAAAAACATTATTCTGAGATGGTGTCCATAGGCTTCCCCAGACTATCAGAGGTGTCTAGGACACACAAAGGTGATAAACCCCTGATCTAGATGTATAGGCTCATACATTTTTCTTTTGTTTAATTAGTAAGGAGGATTTAGAGATTCAGAATACATAAGGTTGAGAAACATTACTCTTGTGAGTGCCTTGAGAGCAAGAACTATTTTTTGTTATCTACCTCCATCCCTAGCACTTAGCATAGCGCCTGGCACATAGTAGATGCTAATTGACTGACTGATTCTTGCTGTTTGTTCACATATTTCTTATCCACCTAAAAAGCTTACTAAGGTCTTTGAGAAGGGGGAAAAAAGTGAAGGGGAGAGAGGAGAAAGACAGTGAGTGAATTTCAAAGGAACATAAGTCTAAGACTTATTAGTGTGGGCAATGTCTTTCCCCTTGGTGACAGCAGATTCTTTTGTTTGTTTGCTTTGGTTGTCCATTTTTTTGGCCTCTCTTTCCTGTTTCCTTAATTTCTATAGTCTTCCTGCTTTTCTCCATTCTCTCCCCTCTCTTGTTATAATTTTCTTGATGAGCCTGGCCCTGAATATTTTCTCCCTATGGACAGATGCCTTTCCTGCCCTTCCACAGACAGGACATTCTAGTGCTACAGAATTGAACCAAAGTGAGGGACAGTTCACGTCCAGGGCTTGTATTACTGAAAGAAGCTTTCGTACACAGTTTGAACTGAGGATGGTTCAGATCACAGTGGTCATGGGACTGGGAAAGGTAGACTTGCCCCTATAAGGACAAACCTATAATTGATTGATTATTGGAAAGGAAGGTCCTAAGCTAGAGCTTTCTTTAGCTAGTCCTCACTTTCTGGTAGCTCCTGAACCCTGGCTCTTTTGGTCATGTTACCCCACATAATAGCTAACAATGATAATCTTCAATGACAAGCTCAAAAACATATATCATTTAAACTGACAGTGTATGTGGCACAAAAGATGATTTACTGCTGGCTGTGGGCTATTATTCCAAGTATGTACAGAGGTTTCAGATTTCAAAGAAAGATGTGTCTTTACACATAGCAAAAGACTAAGGCTGAGAGGCATGTGGGAGAGGTGAGGGGGTCATCTGGCTGACAGCTGGCCCATGGGAATTCTTTGCTGTCCCTTCCTTTCTTATTCTCAAGCAAATTCTCAATGAAAAATTACAATCAAGCAGCCAGCTGTGATGCTGTGGTATAACCCCATGGCTACTTTCAGTAGAGGTACGTATGGCTATGATTGACACATGAACTCAAGGCAAACACTGCAACCCCAATAATACACTGTGCTTGTAGTGCCGCAGGGAATTGCTTCGACATTGTTTGGGGGCAAATTTTAAAACAGTATTTTCAAGTTGACTGATCTGTTGTAGGGCAGCAGTGCACAGGTGATCACTTAGTCAACGGCCATGGCATCTCCTCTTTGAGATCAGAATCGATGAGATGGAGGGACTGTTTTTCTACTAAATTTCACTTTGTTAAATCAAAACTAACTTGCAAGATTAAAATACTTAAAGCTGATTGACCGTACCTGACATCATTGTTCTACTGAGGAAGAATAGAGCAGTAGAATAAACTAGAGCAGAAGAGGGAACCTTCCTTAACCTTTCTGTCTGTCTATGGCAGCTGCATACAAGCAGAGGGTCTCCCTTTAGTTTTCAAATATTCAGAAAACCATAACCATATATACTTTCTCACTGGTACTTCCTCACATCTCCCAGAAGTCAGAAAACAAGTCTCTCTGTGGACTTTTCTTGCAGATTGCTTATCACACTTTTTGCTGTCAGCTACCCTCTGAAAGTGCCCCACCCCATCTGCTCTATACCACATGGTTTCCTTCGAAAGACATTGTCGATATAGCCCAAATTATACATTGCTTTTTTCTTAATAAACAGGAAATGTCATATTGTTGGGAAAAAAAAGTAGAATCTCTTTTCTCAGCGTGAATGTAGTAATAAACCAACCTGTGTTCCTGCATGTTGTTGCCTTAACATTAGCACTTATTCACACCATCACTACTCCCTCTTAAGCTTTCTAGATCTGATTCAGCAAAATCTGAAACTATTCTGACAATCTTAGTGCCATTTTTAGAAAGGTTTCCATTGATGAAAAGAGAGGACTTTTAGCACGCATTGTCTTCCTTTCGCCTGCTTTAGGAGGAGGTAGCTGTCTTTACGGTTTGGAAAGAAATTATGCATGGCAAAGCGAGGTGTGCAAAAATCGTGTCTGGGGGGAAAGGACTCACACAGCTAAGCATTAGTCACCACAAGAGGTTGAGTTATGATAATATCTGACCCATCTTTCTTGACATGAAATATCTAAAGCCTTTGCACCAATCAAGAAAATTGACACTTGGAAAAGAGAGAGAAACAAAATGATAAATGACTTTTTCCTTCCTGCCAGTTACATCAAAACCTGGGTTCTTGTGTCAGGCAGCCGGAGTCCCACCAATCCTCCACACACAAGCACAGTAGAAGCTAGTAGAATAGGGATGGCTTTGGTGATAACAACAAGGGAGCCAAAAATTAAGTTTCCAAGCACAGCTGCTGCTTTGCATAGAGCATTCAAGAAGCCAAAACCTGTTGACCTGGAAAAAAAA